ATATTTGGCTTCCCTCACAGAAACAGGGAGGGAAAAGGTGCTGTAAGCCTGTCTCAGAACAACCACTAATGGACTGAATTCCCTCGGTGGTAGGATGCAGGAGAGAAGAAACACGCTTTCTAGAAAAACCATAAAGGTCAAAAGCAGAGGGGAGGCTCCTCTATTTTCTGGGAGATGGGCTTTTCCAAACTCCAGAAACTGGCTGCTTAGAACTGTAAGCATTGCCATGCCCTACTGTCACGAGCTTCTCTGGAGATGACCAGTCATCCAGCAAAACTGTTCTGCTGGTTCTAGAAAGTTCTGACATTTCCAAAAAATGAGAGCTGGCTCTTCCACCCCTTCCCCTGGAAATGGACGGGGTGAGGCTGCACCCACCAGGCAGAAAGCTTGGCACACTTGTCCAGAAACTGCCAGGTCACAGGATTAAACCCACTCGGCTCTCACTGAACCGCGGTCTTCACTTCCTGGAGTGGAGACAGGTCTGCGGGGATGCCCACCCACTCAGGCAGGAAGGCGGCCTCCGGCTTAAAGATCTCCAGGAAGCTGGAGTCTGGCAGGGTGAAGTTGGCCAGGTAGACGGTGTCCCCACCGGCCAGGTAGGCGGCCCAGAAGCCGAAGGTGCCGATGGTCATGATGGTGTGGTTGCACTGGGTCAGCAGCGCGAAGTCCCTGGCGGGCGAGGTCTCCTGCCCGTCGCCAGCGAAGACCACGTCCCCCCGGGAGGTGTCTATGTTGTCCCGGCACCACGCCATGCCATTGCTGACCACCACGAAGATGGGGGCCTCGTGGCGCTCCCGGAACCAGTCCATGGCCTGCTGGAGGTAGGCCCGGTCGCCCACCACGCCCTTCCAGCGATTGGGCATGACCTCCAGATAGTCTCCACGGCGCACGTGGACCCCCACGAAGGTGCGGGGGCGCGCCCCGGCCTCCCCCAGGCGGAGTGGCCTCAGCAGCTCCTGCGCCTCCCGCTGCAGGTGTGGGTGCAGCGTGAACTCGCTGCGGATCTGCTCACGGATGTGATGGAAGAAGGTCCAGGAGCAGGGGAAGCCCGAGAGCTTGAGGTAGGCGTCGTCCAGGTGGGCGTACTCCTCGGACATCCAGTCGTGGAGCTGCAGCGACTGCCAGGGCGTGCGCTCGTCGGTCTTGGGCTCCAGCACCGGCAGGGTGATGCGGAACACCGGGGCCAGGGTGGCGTGCATGGCCTGTTGGATGTAGGCCCGGCGGCCGTTGAGCTGGGCCAGGGCCAGCAGGGTGGCATACTGCCCCATCTGGTTCCCTAAGCGGCCGTCCGGCTGGAACGTCCAGGTTCCCGAGGGGGACACGGGGCGCTGGGGGCAGCGACAGGAGGAGTTGACGGTCCCCGAGGTGCGCGAGAGGCAGAAGAATTCCACCGGCGTCGTCTTCAGATAGCGGGGTGGACGCAGGATGGTCAGGTCGAAGGCACTTTGGAAGAGGTCTCGGTAGACGTGGAGGAAGAAGATGGTCGAGAGAAGACAGATGGAGAGGAAGCCGAGGCAGATCTGCCGGGGGCCCGGGGTCCACATGGCTGCGGAGAGGAGGTGTGACTTAGAGTCGGCCTGAGAGGGAGGGCGGAACTCGCGGGCCCCAGGGAGGAGGAACTGGAGTCAGGACACCGGGTCGGGTCCGAGAGAGGAGGAGCTGGGGTCCAGGACTCCGGGGTCACATGGAGGAAAGGCTGGAGGCCAGGACTCCCAGATCTCAAGATGGACTGGTTGGGACGTATTCACCTCTGAGTCTGATGGGGGAGGAATTGGGGATCAGGACACCCGGGTCCGACGGAGGAGGGGCTGGGGGTCAAGACAGCCGGGTCTCAGGGAGAAGGGGTTAGGGGTCTGGGTTATTGGGGCCGGAGACTCAGGACTCCTGGGTCTGAGGGCTAAGAGGGGCTGGAGCCAGGACTCTTGGAGAAGAGAGATAGAAGTTGGTGAAAAATGAAATTTCCAAACAAAAGTGGGCCCTGATCCCGCGCCTTCCCCGCTCCCCGCCGCGGGACTCCTTGGAGTCATGCCGTCAGGCTCCAGGTGCACCTGGAGGTGGGGGTGGGGGGAGAAGCGGGGCTGGCGTCCTCCAGAGTGGTGTGGGTGCTGGGGCGGCTGGGGCGCAGGTAGCCCACGCTCACCTGATCTCCTTGCAGCGTTTGTGAATCTGGCCCACATCTGTCTTCCTCTGAGACCCTGAATGCCAGTGCTCCAGACCTCGCAGCACCTTTGCCAACTGGCTGCAGGGCGGAGGAGGAGAGGGTGTGCCCAGGTTCGAGCCTCCGCCCTTGGGGGCTGGCTACGTACCTCCCAGGCGGGGCCGCCCCGCCCCGTTTCCTGGCCCCTAGGCTCATGGCCCCTGTCCGGAGTGGCTGTGACCTCCTCCTCGACTCTCGGGGGTCCTGGGGCTCACAGTCTCAGTCCACTCCTCCTCCTCCGTCCTCCCTGGCCACCAGAAGCCTTCTCTGGGACAGCTCACCTGGCCTCCAGGTGCCCGCATCCTCCGGGAGCCGCGGGGACTGGAGCCCTGAGCGATGCTGGACCCGCGCGTTCTGGCC